TCATTGTAGTGGTGGAGTTGGTAGATATTACCCAGGCAAACAATTGAGGCTGGACACAGTCAATGTTAAAAAATTGAATTTTTGTAACATTAAAAATGCGAAGGTAATGTACATCTAAACTTAAGGGTTTGGATGTAGATTCTCTGGTCATTGAGCATCCAGGTGAACAAAGCTCCCAAGATGCAGCAAAACAAGAGCTCATGGATTGACCCATTCATGAGCTTTCCCTGCCCTCACTAGGCGATCTTACTGAAAAAGAGCAGGTTGTTCCTAAACCAGAAGAAGTTCTAAGAAGAAAAATATCCCAGAAACCAGAGGAAACAAAAACTTGCAAAGCTAAGGAATAAATTCATAAATACTAATAAAATAAAAAAGGAAAAAGAAGATGAAAGAAAGAGTCATGGTACTGTTGTAAGGATATTGAGAGAAGAGGAGAGACTCTAAGGAGAGACTTGTACCTGGAAGATCGTGAAGATGCCTGCTTCAGAACAGTTTTGGGGTATATATTTTAATATTCTGGTACAGTGTCTGTGCTGCTGCATGATTAGAAATTTTGCCCTGGCCAGATAGCTCAATTGGTTAGAGCATCTTCGAACCAAGTGTGGTTTGTTCCCCACTTGGGTTCATACCTGGCCAGGGTTCGTGTTGGTTTAGGGAACCAAACAATGAATGCATCAATAAGTGGAACAGCAAATCAGTGGTTCATTCTCTTTCTTAACAATAAATAAAAATTTTAAAAACCCAAAAAACCCCTGGTTGGTGTGGCTTAGTTGATTGAGCACTGGCCTGCAAACCAAAGGTTTGCTGGTTTGATTCCCAGTCAGGACACATACCTTGGGTTGCAGGCCAGTCCCCAGTGCGGGGGTGTGTGAGAGGCAACCACACATTGATGTTTCTCTCTCCCCTCTCTTTCTCCTTCCCTTCTCCTCTGTCTAAAAATAAATAAATAAAATCTTAAAAAGAAATTTGACCCTTGTATGCTGATGATACATATTGGCTGGTCTTCAGGGTTGGTTCTCCCTGATTCATAGGGAGCTATTCTACCTAAGTAGCTGATAAGGTGGCATTAGGACAGGAATTCTGATATCACTCAGTTGGCCTGGAAGGGTGTTACCAGGAGTTTATGATTCAGTTAGCTGACCTGTAAATTTGGTGATTGCATAAATCTGTTATGGATATGCAATATTTTCATACCTAACTCATCTGGTGTGCTTTATTTTTAGGAAACCGAAGGAAGGAACATTGTAAAGCTGAAACCTCATGAAGAACCGCTCTGTTCTGAGATCCTTAGTGGAAAATTCACCATCTTGTGAGTCTTCATGATCTCTCTTGTAATGTCTCATCATTTCTTTTTTTTTTTTTTTTAAACAGGGGAAAAATTAAAGTTTGTTTTCCTTCCCCCTCCCCCCATTATTTCCTTTTTGTAGCTGTTGTCCTCTTTGGATTTTTTGCTGGCTACCTTATCCAGCTCTAGAACATCTCAACAGTTGGGAGCAGATGTGAAGCAACTGTTATTTTGGCATAAGTTATTCTAGTTATTGAAATTACTGAGAATCAGTTATACATATTTACAAATTTCTTCATTGGTCTATAAGTTAGTCAAGACCTTTGGCGTGGGTATATAATGTGCCAGAGGCCATCTTACCTTGTTGAATGCAAACTCTCGTCATTTCAACCGTCCTTTCAAGTAAGTATTTATGCAATGGGTGGATTTTATCATTTTCCTCTGCTGTTTGCCTTTGGGCATCCTGCCGGGAAATTAGCCATCGGTGTAGACCATCTTTTAATCTCCGCAATTGAAGAGGTTAAGATAATGTGTTTTCTCCTGTCACCAAAATAAGGTGGGGGCCAGAGGGTACTGAGAATCAGGTACAGGATAACATAAACTTCCTGCCCTTGCTGGAGCAATTGACTCAAGCCAGTAGAAGTATCACAGGTGTCTGTTCTCTTCATATTGGAAAGCCATGTCCAGGATATAAGGAACCTCAGTGATTATTGGGATTTTCTGTTTGATTTCTAAATGTTTCTTGTTTTATTTCCTTTAGAATGTTCGGGACCCAACAGGAGCCTCCATCGCCCTCTTCACTGCCAGATTGCATCATCCCCACAAGTCAGTCCAACATGTGGTACTTCAGGCTCTGTTTTACCTACTAAGACAGAGCTGTGGATAGGTGAGCATGAAAATTATTTTTTAGATGGTCTTCATTCAGATGGGAAGGGGACAGTTCTTGATTTGATAAAACTTAGCAGTGCCTTTCCTATGCTCCTTGGATGTGCCCTGGGCAGTGAGTGCTATGTATAGAAAATGACCCATATCCTTAAAGGCTTGGCATATTTCTAGGTACTATCAAGATGGTGGGTTTTCTGTATCTTTACCTGCTTGACTCTTTTCAGGATTACAGAAGCTGAGAAAGCCAATTAAATAGCAATCCTCAGTGTATTAAGAATTACTTAATTGAGAAGCCCTGGCCAGGTAACTCAGTTGGTTAGAGTGTCATCCCAATATGTGAAGGTTGTGGGTTCGATCCCTGGTCAGGGTGCATAGCAGAATTAACCAATAAGCCCTGAGTGGTGTCGCTCAGTGAATTGAACACCATCCTGGGAAGTGAGAGGTTGCCCGTTAGATTTCTGGTCAGGGGCATGCTTAGGTTGCAGGCCAGATCCCCAGTTGCGGGCATATGAGAGGCAACCAATTGATGCTTCTCTCCCTCTCTTTCTCCCTCCCTTCCCCTCTCTCTAAAATAAAAGTTTTTTAAAAATTTAAAAAAAGAATTAACCCATGAATATTTAAATAAGTGGAACAACAAATAGATGTTTCTTTCTCCCCCCTTTCTCTCCCCTCTCTCCCTTCCTCTTCTTCTAAAATCAATCAATAATTTTTTTTTTTGTAAAGAATTATTTACTGAGAGAGAGTGAGGGGGAGATGACCTGTGCTGGTTCTTTTTTTGTTCATTCTTCCCTGGATGTTGATTTTTAAAACCCTCTGGGTCTTCAGTTTCTTTGTAAAATAGTAATAATGCCATTTAGTCATTGAGGACTTTGAGACTCAACATTCAGGAAAGAAGAGTCTGAAGGTGTAAAGTTAAGCAAAATCATCTCTATCAATAGGTACATAAACAAAAAGAACCAGCTCATGTTGTATCTCTTCCATTCTAAGGTAAATGGTATTATTACTGTTCTATAGACAAAGAAACTGAAGCCTCAAGAGTTGTGTGACTCTCACAGTCATCACATGTTGTTCCAACTAGGTCTAAGACCCTGTTTTTATTTTCTCTTGGCCAGAGCTATTTGTACCCTGCTGCACTGTTTTTCTGCCATACTTTTTTTCCCTTAGTGTTTGCCATTTGCAGTTTATTATTGTCTGGGTAGTATGGGCTGGTCCTCTGCTTTAGGAGTGATATATCAAGGGCTTGAGACCTGAGATAGTGAAAACAGCTATGCACAGTATTAGTCATACATGCACTTACAGGAAGGAAATAGCTAAAAGATTGCCTTAGTTGGTGGTCTTTGTCTAGTGTACTGGTTACTGTCTTGTTAATGTTACCTTCATAGTACTTAGCTTCTGCTTTTGATGTAGTAAGGAGATAGATTTAAACCACACACAGCACTGTCCTGTAAAAGAAAAGTTACTAAGGAGATGGGACCAGTGTCTCAGGCCGTACAGTGCAATCAGAAGTGTGGAATGTCTCAGGTCTTCTTTTCTATGATTGGTCTTCACGATTTCCAGAATATAGGTTCTTTTGAAATGCTATTGTAGCTCAAGAGAATGAATGAAAGTTTCCTTTACTGGAAGACTCAGTATTGATCTTCTTCCTTGGGCAGCTTAGGGAGTTAGAGCTCTCACACAGGCATGGCCTAGTCAGAGCTTGCTTTCTCCAATGTGATTGTTGGGTCCCACAGGAGCACCTGTGCACAGGTAAACATCATTGAAATTTTTCTACATGCATTTATTTCTTAACAGTCAGTGACTCCTCGTTATTCAAAGGGTGCATATAAAATAAATGTGAACCCTTTTCTCTAAACAAAATATTCTCAGTAGTGAGAAGAAATTCTTGTTTTCCAATGTTACCTTGAACTAGGATGGAAAGCCCTTCTCTTCACTAAATCTTGTCCTTTTTTACTTTTTAAAGTCTTTCTTTCTTTCTTTCTTTCTTTTTTAAAGATTTCTTTTATTTATTTTTTAGAGAGAGGGGAAAGGAGGGAGAAAGGAGAGAACATTGTTTGGTTGTCTCTTACATGCCCCCTTTAAATGGGGTCCTGGCCTACAACACAGGTATGTGCCCTCACCAGGAATTGAACCAGCGACCCTTCAGTTTGCAGTACACTGTCCAACCCATGAGTAAGACCAGTCAGGTTCAATCTTGCCCCTTTTAAGGCCCAACTTCTGTGACTGGCCCCGTCACCACTCCATCCTGTCATGAGTAAAAATTCTTTTTACTTTGACTTTAATAGAAGTTTTTACTAATACTGATCATTTTGTGTTTATTTATGCATGGTCTTACAATGTCATGTATTTTATACTGTTGTTTTTTTCATCTACCACTAGATTGTAAACTCCTTGAGGGCAGAGTACCTTCTTTTTAACATAATATAATGGAAAATCCCCAAGTCTCCGTCGGTGGAGAGGGAAGTGCTATCTATCATAAACTTCCACATACCCATCATCCGTCATCTTCAAAGTGATCTGTAACCAATCTTATTGTCATCAATAGCTCCTCATCCACCCCGTACCCTACCCTCGATTATTTTGAAACATATCAGGGACAGTGTTTTTAACTTATTGGTGTTCCCAGTAGCATCCAGCTTAGGAATCAAATTCAGGAATAAGGCAAATATGCTTACTAGGGAATTAGCTATTATTGTAAACCTCATATTCTATGCCAGAAAAGTGAAAATCCTGTTGCATGTTTATTTAAATCATGTGCCTTCAGAGGATGAGCAGTTTTGGGGAATATAGAACCTACATCGTTATGCCAGATTGCTTTTTAAAAATTAAATTCTGTTTCCCTTGGCATTGTCTTCACTTTGTTTCGGTTCCCTGCCACAAGCTGGAGTGGTGAGGGGAAAACCTGTAATTCTTTGAACTGGGCCTTTGATGAGCTGTGGAGAATGGGAAGTCTCTAAACCTAGATAGTAATTGTGCTGTTTGTTTAACAGCATCTTTGATCTTGGTGAATCATAATCTCTCTGGGGTCATAAAATGAGTCAAGATTTAGCACTGACTGTAACACATTAGGGACCATTTGAACTTAAGGCTGCTAGAGAAACTTGGGGCCACCTCACAATTAGAGATTTTTGAAATGCTGCTTCATTAGTGGGTGCTTCCATCCTGGATTTTGTTGACAGAAAAAAGGTATAGAGGTTTATAGAGGTCATACAAAACAGTTATTGGGTTGGCCATAAAGTCCATTTAATTTTTTCCATAAAATGAAAGACATTTTTTAATTTTCACCAATAACCTTATTTTTTTTTTTGATATATTGGGTATGTCAGCTCTCTCCCCACGTGGTAAGATGTTGATTGTTCTCAATTAATGTATTGATTTGATCACCTGTCACTTCAACTGACCTACTGACCGTGGAGCATCATCCAGTGAGAAATTTCCAGCACAGAACTTCGCAAACCACTTTTGACACATTCGATCATTCACAGCACCTTTTCCATACACTGCACACACCTTTTTTTTGCACTTTAGTTGCGTTTTACCTTTCTTGAAATAATAAGGCATAGTAGGCCAAAAATGTTGCGTATTTCCTTCCATCTTCAATATTAAACTGGCTACACAAAAATGTTGATGAGTTTTTTTAATGCACACTGATTTGATAGCTGTCACAGTACAATCTAACAAAATTTTTCTGAATGGCTTTAAAGACAACTAAGGCTACCAGAGCCACCTTACAGAAAAAACAAACATTTTGGCCAACCCAGTGGTATACAAAATATCATGAGACCCTTGATTTCAGGATTGTGTTTTGTGCCAAGACTTATTCTCAGTTTTAAATACAGTGGTACCTTGGTACTTATTGGCTTCAGAACTTGTCAGACCTGGTACTTGTCACATTTTGACAGGGAAAAGTTTCAACATTTGGCACTTGCTAGAAGTTCTATGAGTCATGACACCACCTTGTAAGAGAAAATGCTTCATCAATAGTTGCATGCTCACCACTCATCAGAATGAATTAATGAGTACTGAGGTACCACTGTAAATGTGAAAACTATTGCTGTCATCTCTGAATAATCCAGTCAAATAATTTATTCTCTGTACAGAATAAAGCAAATAAGGACCTGGCTTGATGGAAAAGGTAACTTTGAAAAGTCCACAGGTGTTTAGGAGATTGCACTGAGGAATACTTTTCGTATCTGTGTGTATTCCTAACTTCAATTTGGGAATAGGCTGACCTCCTTTCAATTTACTTTTGAAGATGTTTTCCAAAGACCATTTTTGGGTTTTCTTCCTGCAAGTCAAAAGGGACAAATTCACAGTGATTAAGCTTAGAGTTTTGTTTTACAGTTTCCCACAGTCCAAAGCATTTTCTTAGAGAAGGCTTCCAGTCCACTGTATTACAATTCATCGATCATTCATTATGGACCTGTGTTGCAAGTACTGTACTAGGGACTGTTGGGGATAATGAGTGAACAGAACACATTTCCCCTCTAGGAGAGAATTTGATGGCTATACAAAGTGAGTGTACTTTAAGCCGCAGTAAAGATCCACAGGAAGATTTATAGGGTTTCAAGAAGGTGAAGGATGGTAGTACAATTGAGTATAGTTATCAGGGAGATCTTCATGGAAGGGGGAAACTTTTGAGCTGAAAATGGAATGTTATAGAATCTGGATAGGCAGATTCAGAGACAGAAAGAAACAGTTCAAATTTTGACAACTTAGATGCTCTGGAACATTCTTAACTTACGAGTTTGGCACTTCATAAATCTGGATAAGTATGCGTCAGTAAGTATAAGTCCAATTCCAGTTTTAACATGAGAAGCTTTCTCCCATATCACCATGCAGTTTTTCAACACCAGCTCAGTGTTCCACAATTCACCTCAATTCTGACACTGTCTATCTAGAAATAGCATCAGGTATCACAGGTTAAGGGTTTATAGCCCTGCAAGACTGTCCCCTTCCACCCCCCTTCAGACAACAATGGCAAATTCAGATTGTCACATCTGCTTCAGACCAGTAGGCTGTAAATCCGAGGTTCTAACTTCTCCCTTTTTGGGTTTGATGAATTAGCTAGAATGGCTCACAGAACTCAGAGAAACATTTTACTTACTAGTTTAGCTGTTCACAATAAAAGGATATGACCCAGGAACAGCCAGGTGGAAGGGTTGCATAGAGCAAGGTGTGGGGAAAGAGCACGGAGTTTCCATGCCCTCTCTGAGATGGCCATTCTCCCAACACTTCACCATGTTCATCAACCAGCAGAAGCTCTCTGACCGCTACCCTACTGAGTTTTTATGGAGGCCTCATTACTTAGGCATGATTGATTAAATTATTAGTCATTGGTGATTGGACTCAGTCTCTATCCCCTTGCCTACCCTTCCTTCCCAGGTGGGTGTGTGGGTGGGACTGAAAGCACCAACCTAATCCAGTGGTTGGGGCATTCCAGCAGTCACCTTATTAATGTAACAGGCACCTTTATTGAGCTCTTCACTTAGGAAATTCCAAGAATTTTCAGGGTCGAAGACTAAATACATAGTTCTTATTACAAGTCACAGTACCACAATAAGCATAGCAGATACCAAAGATAAATCATCTTTTTATAAGACCAGTTTTCTGGGAGGCAGTTATCTTGGTCCCAAATGTGCCCCATATGTTGTTTCAGCCCCAGGCTTTCAACCGGCCCCATTCATCTCATTACTTAAATGTTTTTGTTCAATGATTGGTTTACAGCTTTGAAACTCAGAGGAATGGACTGGTGTTTATCTATGACATGTGCGGTTCTAATTATAACAACTTTGAGCTGGATCTTGGCAAGAAAGTCCTAAACTTGCTGAAGGTAAGGCCGTGACAGGGTCCTCTCAACTGTCCTACAGTGCTTAGGATACTTTTCCTATTCTTCAGGAGATTTAGGAATTATGTAAACTTTAGACATTGTGTTCTGTTTAAAGGTCACCTGTAAATGAAAACTAGTAACTGCTTCCTCAGAACAAGAAATGATTTGACAAGTAAAGTGGGAAGAATTTAAATAAGAAATACATGGGAACATTCTGAATCATCCTGGAGTTTTGCAGAATAAGAGTAAATGAAGGCCTAGGTATGGCCAGTGTTCTTGAAAAATGTCACCTAGCCAGTGACTTTCAGACTTTTTAAACATAATCTAGTCAGAAGTATGTTTTACATTATGACTTAGTCCATGAAGGTATTTGTACACTTACACATGTATGTAGAATTGAATACGTAGATAAAGTTCTTAATCTCTTATCCCAAACTGTTAGGTCCAGAGGTATTTTTTAATATTTTGAACTTTAGATTTTATTTATTTATTTATTTATTTATTTATTTATTTTTTTAGAGAGAGGGGTAAAGGAGGGAGAAAGAAAGGGAGTGGAGAGACTCATCAATGGTTGCCGTTCCGCACGCCCCAACTGGCATCTGGCCACAGGCATGTGTCCTGGCTGGGAATTGAACCAGCAACCTTTTAGTTTGCAGGCTGGAACTCAGTCCACTGAGCCACACCATCCAGGGCTGAACTTTAAAAGATAATGTGCATGCCGCTTTATAATCCAACATTAATATTTCTGCAATGAGATATATTATTCGTAATGAATGGAGAAGAATAAAGGCCCTAAATAGCCTAGGGCAGTTCAGGTTAGATATTGCTGCCCTGTGAATTTTGCACCAAACTTACGAAAGAAACTTAAGGTTTTCAGAGTTATTTAGATTTCAGAATCTGTGAGTAGGGGTGTCTATATCTGTGTGTACATGTTTAATAAAACAAAAAAGTTACATGAAATAAGCTTTACTATGTGCAGTCACTTTGATTATTCCCTTCTAGTTCATATTTTAAAAATGTTAATCATGACCTATGAAATTGATTTCAGGACCCACTGAGTGACATCCTGCAGTTTGAAAAACATAGAAATCTGAGCAGTCTTTGTCCTGGGACCTCACCTTGGAGTACTATGGAACTAAATTTTTAGAGATGTTTCTTTTTTATTTTTTTATTATTTTTTTACCCTTACCTAAAGATATGTTTATTGATTTTAGAGAGGGAGACAGGGGTTGGGGGTGAGAAAGAAACATCCATGTGAGAAAGAAACATCGATGGGTTGTGTGCTATACACGCCCGAAGAGGGATCAAACCCGAAACCTGGGTATGTGTGTGCCCTGACCAGGGATCAAACCTGCAACCTTTTTGGTGTACTGGCTGATGCTCCAAACAGCTGAGCCACCCAGCCAGGGCTAGAGGTGTTTATTTACTATTATATCTTTACAATAGAAAGTATATAAATAAAATACTACACTGCATGTTGTTTTCTGGGACTTGCATTTTTCACTCATCATTATTTTACTAAAATTCCTCTTGCTGCATGTAACTGATTCATTTCTTTTTACCTTTTAATTCCTCATCCATTGGTGAATATATCAGATTATTCATCTACTCTTGTCTCGATGGTTGCTTGGATTGTTTCCTGATTTTTGCTATTATGAACAGTGCTTCTATGAATAGTTTTATACTTGTTTTCTGGTGCATGTGTTTCTTGACCATTTATTTATTATTACCTCACTAGGGAGCCTATTGCAGACATTCCCTACCTCTCACTCTCAGTTCTTTTAATGAAATTCTAATACCAGAGATGTACTGTATATATTGTGATGTACTGAATGCATATCTGGTTTATGCATAATGAATATGATTTTTTTGCCCATTCTCCACTCTTTTTAAAAATAATTTCATCCCCTTGAATGCATGTTCATACACTTAGGAGTAGAATTCCTGGGTCATAAGGTTGTGAAGATTGAGCTTCATAAAATAGTGTCAGATTGTTTTCCTAATGGTTGTATCTACCTGCCATGTGTAAAATTTCCATTGGCCCATATCCTCTTCAACACTTGGGGGTGAGGTTAGACTTGTTAATGTTTTCCTGATCAAGTGGGATAAAATGGCATCTTGTGGTACAACTTGCATTTCTCATGTTTATGAGATTATCTTTTTATACATTTATTGGCCATATATGTTTTCTTCTGCAAAGTACCTATTTGTAGCTTTTACCCAGTTTCCTATTGGTTTGTCCATTTATGTAGTTTTTATATATTATTAATACTAATCCATTTATATATCTATATTCATATATATACTGTCTCAGTTTATAGCTTGTTTTTTCACTTAAGTCTTTTTGACAAGCAGCACTTCTTAACTTTAATATGGTTAAATATGTCTGAATTATTTTTTTCTGTTTAATGTGTTTGCATCTTAAGTTCTTTCTTTTTCCAAAGTCAGAAAAAATATATTAACTATTTTTTTACTGCTCTATCACTGAATACATATGTATTAATTTTTTAGTTGATTTTTTTTATTGTGGTAAAATATATATATATAACAAAATTCACTATTTTAACAGTTTTTAAGTGTACAGTTCAGTGCCATTAAGGACATTCACAGTGCAACCATCACCACTATTCATTTTCAGAACTATTTTGTCATCCCAAACAGAAATTCTGTACCCATCGAACAGTGTCTCCCAGTATCCCCCACCACCCAGCCTCTGGTAATTTGCCTTTTCTAGGTCCTCATCAAGTAGAATCACACCATATTTATCCTTTTATGTGTGTTTTATTTTACTTAGGATAATATTTTCAAGATTCATTTATATTGTAGCATATATCAAGATTTCATTCTTTTTTAAGGCTGAATAATATTTCATTGTATGTATAACATTTTGTTTATCCAGCCACCTGTCCATAGACATTTGGATTGTTTCCACCTTTTGGCTATTGTGAATAATGCCCCTGTGAACACTGGTGTACAAGTATCTGTTTGAGTCCCTGATTTTAATTCTTTCGCACATATGCGAGAAGTGGAATTGTTGGATCATGTGGTAATTCTACATTTAACTTTTTGAGGAGCTATTTTTCTTTTTTTAAATTATATTTTATTGATTATGCTGTTACAGTTGTCCTGAATTTTCCCCCTTTGCTTCCCTCCTCCCAGCACCCCCCATACCCTCAGGCAGTCCCCATACCTTGTTCATGTCCATTTGTCATGCTTATAAGTTCTTTGGCTACTCCATTTCCTATCCTGTGTTTTACATCCTCATGGCTATTCTGTAACAACCTATTTGTACTTCTTAATTCCCTCACCTCTTCACTCATTCCCCCATAACCCCACCCATCTGGCAACCATCAAAATGCTCTCCGTATCCATGATCCTGTTCTGTTTTAGCATGCTTAGTTTGTTTTTTAGACTCAATTGTTGATAGTTTTGTATTTTTTCCATTTTACTGTTCATAGTTTTGATCTTCCTTTGCTTAAATCAGTCACTTTAACATTTCATATAATAATGGTTTGGTGATGATGACCTCCTTTAGTTTTTTCTTGTCTGGAAAGTTCTTTATCTGTCCTTCCGTCCTAAATGATAGCTTTGCTGGTAGGACAGTCTTGGCTGTAGGTCCCTGCTTCTCATGACTTGGAGTATTTCTTGCCAATCCCTTCTAGCCTGCAAAATGTCTTTTGAGAAATCAGCTGACAATCTTATGGGAAATCTCTTGTAGGTAACTAACTTCTTTTCTCTTGCTGCTTTTAAAATTCTCTCTTTATCTTTAACCATTGGCATTTTAATTATGATGTGTCTTGATGTGGACTTGTTTTTGTCCAGCTTGTATGGGACTCTCTGTGCTTCCTGGACTTGCATGTCTCTTTCCTTCACCAAGTTAGGGAAGTTTTCTTTCATTATCTTTTCATATAGATTTCCAATTTCTTGCTCTTTGTCTTCTCCTTCTGGCACCACTATAATGCAAATGTTGGACTTCTTGAAGCTGTCCCAGAGGCTGCTTATACTGTCCTCATTTTTTTTGGATTCTTTTTTCTTCTTGTTTTGATTGGTTGGTTTTTGCTTCCTTATGTTCCAAATCATTGATTTGATTCTTGGCTTCATCCACTCTACTGTTGTTTCCCTGTACATTGTTCTTTTATTTCAGTGTATCCTTCATTTCTGACTGGATCTTTTTTTATGCTTTTGAGGTCCTCACTCAGTTCCTTGAGCATCCTTACTACCAGTGTTTTGAACTCTGCATCTGATGGATTGCTTATTTCCATTTTATTTAGCTCTTTTTCTGGAGTTCTGATCTGTTCTTTCATTTGGGTCACATTTCTTGGTCTCCTCATTTTGGCAGCCTCCCTGTGTTTGTTTCTATGTATTAGGTAGAGCTGCTTTGACTCCATGTCTTGGTAGTATGGCCTAATGTAGTAGGTGTCCAGTAGGGTCCAGTGGCACAACCTCCTTTATCACCCAAGCTGGGTATTCAAGGTGCATCTTCCATATGCACTGAGCACACCTCCTGTTGTAGTTGAGCCTCAGTTGCTGTTGGCACATCAATGGGAGGGATTTACCCAGGCCAGTCAGCTGTATGGACTGGCTGTGACCACTGACCACATACCTCCACCATCCGTGAAGGATCAGCTGTGTAGGGGCCGGGCAGTGGTGCTCCAATGTGGTCTGTAGCTGTCCACTGGGAGTACTGGCCCTGGGGTTTCCTGGGTGGTGCAGGTCAAGGTCAGCCCCCCCCACCCCCCCCACCGTATTTTTCCGGTGGCCATGCTGCCTGGCCTATAAAGCAAATCTGAGATGAGTGCTGCTTGTGCTGGGCTTAGAGATTCCTAGGCGAAGTCAAGATGTGCATCTAGGCTGGCTACTGCTGGTGTCTGGCCTGGAGCTCAGTGAGGCCGTCTGTTGCTTCTTTGAGAGCATTTAAGAAATTGTGCAGTATGAGCGAAGACCAGCCATTCATAATGAAAAACAGCTTGGGTGGGTCCATAAACTGAATGGAGTCAAGTGAA